GAGGCTGAGGTGAGTGGATTGCCTGAGCCCGTGGGTTCGAGACCTCAGCCTTCCAGGGAACTACAGGTGCAGGCTACCACGCCTGGCTAATTTTTTATTTATTGCAGAGATGAGATCTCGCCAAGTTGCCCAGGCTGGTCTCCAACCTGTGGACTCAGGCAATCCACTCGCCTCAGCCTCCAAAAAGTGCTGGGATGACAGGCTGAGCCACCGAGCCCAGCCAGTTTTGGGTTTTATTAAGCAAATTGAATGCCATTAATTATGAATTGATTTATTAACAATAATATAAAGCATGTATCTATATGAAGGCAGGAGAGGGGCAATTTGTAGCTTATTTCAGGTCATTTTATATGGCAATATCCATTAGGCTTGTTTGGTAATAACCTGCCCATTAAGCTAATGTCGTTTCACGTAACGTAAATTTGCAACATGAAGTAACGGATCATGGAGGGAAATGATCCTCTCAGGCTAATGTTAACAATGGTTGGGAGTCTTCATTTTTGCAGAGGGCATCTGATACTTACAGGTCAAGGTTTGCATCCACACGGGGCAGGTCTTGCTCTCTAAACTTCCGTAGAAGCACATGGGTGAGGTCCATGTCACCCCCGCTGTTCATCAGGACACAAAGAAAGCAAAATGGAATTATTAGTAGCTCCCAGTGGAGAACAGAGGACCGGATTCTGACCTTACACTGCACCTGAGTCAGGCTGACCCAAGCAAATGATTCCTAGTAACTCAGATAAAGCTCATTTTCCACTGTGTTGATGATAAAGCCAAATGAGCAATAAAATGCATTCTCTATGTAGTAAAAGCATAGTTTTGCCATCACAGACATGCATTTTTATATACTCACACTCACAGTATATTATTAATCTCATCTTTTCACTTAATAGTATAACCACTTGTCATATAGTTGCATGGTTTTTAAAAAAAACAAAGTTTAAAGGTTGCATAATATTATATCATGTTATCATATTAAAATCTGTAAAACTATGCTCTTAATGTTGGAACTCTGGCTTGGTCTGAATTGTTCTATTATAGGGTCCTGCAATGAAACACCTTCTTATACTTATATTTTTTGGTTTCTATGTGAGCTATATTGAATTACACTTTCTTAGTAAGAGGTCCTCAACACAGAATCCTATGTGGGCTTTAAGTACACATTAAAATATAGTATTTATTTCACTAACATAAGTCTCACAAGGTGATTAATAGTTCAAGTAGTGTTACTGAAAATCAAGGCCACCAATATTAAATTTCCTTACTGAAGACGCCATTAGCAATAAGATACGCTATTCATGGAGCTCTGGGTGCAGTGTAGAAACAAACTCTAGATTATATTTTGTACCTCAATTGTAAAAATCACCTTGAATTGAGAAAATGTAGAAGAATATAAAATAGTCCTCTTTAAATTGAACTGAATGGGAGTGGAGGCTCATTTGAATTAACTAAAATCCTAAATTATGGTATTTGGGAAAGAATATAGACGTATTACTTTCCAGAACTCACACTCTCTTTTTTTTTTTTTTTTTTGAGTTGGAGTCTCACTCTGTCGCCCAGACTGGAGTGCAGTGGCCACTCTGGGCCACTGTAGCCTCAACCTGCTGGGCTCCAGCGATCCTTCCACCTCAGCCTTCCAAGAAGCCAGAATTACAGGCACACACTACCACACCTGGCTAATTTTTTATTTATTGTAGAGATGAGGTCTCACCAAGTTGCCCAGGTGGGTCTCGAACCCACAGGCTCAGGCAATCCACTCACCTCAGCCTCCTAAGGCGTGTGATTACAGGCCGAGCCACCAAGCCCGGCTCACACTGTCTTATTTACAAAATACTTTTCAGATAGACATCCTCAGGAATACTAGTCAAAAACATAGAAGAATGACGCATAATTAGAATTACAGATTACTTACACGTACACAGTGCCCTTGATTCTTTTTGGAAAGAATTCCTACATAAATTAACAGATGTACAAAAGTGGTTCCTTTTAAAGAAATTGAAACATTAGCCTCCTTTAAGAAATGTAAGCATTATCAGAGACTGAGAGGGAGGGAGGAATGAAGAGAGATTGGTTAATGGGTACAAACATACGGCAGGAGAAATAAGTTCTAGTGTTCTAGAGCACAGGAGAGTGATGATAGTTAACAAGAATTCATTCTACATGTCAAAACAGCTACAAGAGAAGATTGGAAATGTTCCCCAAATAAAGAAACAATAAATGTTTGAGGTGATGGGTATCCTAGATAACCTGATTTGATTGTTACATATTGTACGCACGTATTAAAATATCACATGTACCCTATAAAATGTTCAATCATTACATAATAATTTAAAAAGTCAAAAAAAGGAAATGCAAAAAAACAAGCAACCTTAAAGTGATCCTCAACCCCTGATTTTCTAATTAACTTTTTGTTCACAGGCAATGAAAAGCTTACTCTCAAATATCTTTCTGAATTGCTATCCTCACTCAAATACAGGGAGGTCTGGATTGGTTAGGTTTGATGCATCCCCCGCATCCTGCAGAGCAAGTATATGTTCAGAATCAGAAGAAACAACCACATTTGTACAGTGTGATGTCACCCAAAGATGGGAACTTTACAGATTCCCTGTTTCCCTAGTTCCCAGCTCAGTGAGTTCTCTAACATACCAATCTTACATTTTTTTATGTTCCAAATTTACCAATGGCTCCTTGTTACATGTGTGTCTTGAAATCATATTTAAATTCGTCCACAGTCTTCAGCCTTGACATCTTTGGCTCTGTTGTCCTTTGGCCCTGTTCTTGGGTGCGGCACCTAGCCTGGTCCAGCCCAGCGGAGCCAAGTCCAGCAGAGCCACTCTGAGCAGCCCTGCCTATGAGGATGCTGATCCCTCGGAATCACTCTCTCCAACTTCTTGGGCACTTGATTGGAAACTCTCTCCAGCTTGAAAGCCTCAACTAGAACACTGAGTCCATGATGAGCCCTCCCTACCTCTTCTCTACTCGTCCTGACTAATGGCCTAGACATGCATTTTTCAGGGGATTTTAACTGTAGGTGTCTCCTCGTCTCATTACCGAAACAAAATAATCCTTGAGAAAAAGGGTCCAATGCTTAGGACAGTAGTTGGAACTCAGTAGCTTCTCGAAATTTTTTGAACGCACTGTGAAATGTTACTGATGTACTAAAACCCTTGACCAAATTCTTCATGCCTATCCAATTATTTTACTTCTCTAAATCTAGCCTTCTCTGAGCTCTTACCATTCAAACAAGAACAAACTTTGATGGAAAAGAAACTGAAGTTCACTACACAAAATCGGTGCTGAATTTCTGCTGAGGACAACCCTGTTTTCAGAGCAGTAACTATGTATAAATTTAGAATGCAAACATCTCTGTATCATCCAAACCCAGAAAGGAATAATTTTTGATAGGAAAACACTATTTTCCCCACTATGTGAAATACAATAAAGACTTAAAAATATTCAGGTGGTTTACAATGGGCCTAATATAATCCCCTACAGCTATGGCCAACAATATACAATAATGGAACATGCTGAAAATCACAACAAATTTGTGTCTCATAAGTAGTCAGTGTGACCTCTGTATAAACAGCCTTCAAGTTTCTAACAAATGAGAAAGCACTTTTACAAGGAAAGGGACATACTTTCTGCTGAAATGTGGCCTATAAAAAAGAAAACAGTTATTTGTGGCATCTTTGGAAATACTCCGGACTACTCTCCAATGACCCATTAATCAAAGAACAAATATGAAAGTTTAAAATATCTTTCTAGAAAAAAAATTGAACCATAAAGTAGTTTACTTGCAATAATTACTAAGAACAAGCTTAAAAGTTATGACTTATTTTTTATTACTTTTTTATCTTAGGACTTGAGGTAACTGGTTCAAAAAAAAAACTTATTTTAAAGTATCTCGGTTGCTATAAAACAGAAATATAGAAATATTTTGTCCCAAACTATCCCTCTTTGGTTGCCTTTAAACTCTTGGCTATATTTTAAGGTAAATATCAATGTTAGAAGCATTTCACATCTTTCATTACCACTCCAAAAACTGAAAATTACTGCTTAATTGTGATTGAGTGGCAGTTCATAAATGGGGTCACTTTCCCTTTTAAAAATCACTGTTTCTCAAATAAAGTCACTGGAGTGACCCAAGAAGCTTGATTGAACAAGTATATACTCCTAAGCACCATTGTAAAGGCTCTTCCTGGTTAACAAGAGCCCTGGTGATTCTGATTCCGATGACGATGAAATCCATCTTGACAAACACTGGGGCTATTCTGGGAAGCCGGCAATTAGCACTCTCTCTCCTTCCTTCTCAGCACATCCAGCTCCAGTCCCTTTACCGCTCCTGATCTAACCAGATTCTGGTGTAGATAAACCTCTGTGAGAGTTCAAGGCCATCTTCCTGTTAGGTTAGGCAACGTGAATGCAGTTTGAAGACCAGAAGCAGAGCATCCAGTGGCCATGACCAGAAGGCAGAAAGGATGTGCCACCCTCAAAGGCTTGCAAATCTCCAGAGACTTCAGCCTACACTAGTCTTACGGTGCCCAAGTAGTCAATACAAAGTTTAGTTGGAGGGGCTGATGCATTCCTGTTCCTAAATCAGGGAGCATGTAGGAAGTAGGAAGTTTCCCCCATCTCCCTGGGAGAAACAGAGAAAGGGTTGTTGGCAACCCTACCCCCACCCCGCTACCCTTCAGAGGAATAATGCATGCATTTTGGCTGCATCTCTATCAGAACTGCCTCCAACTGATAGGCAGCATCCTTATCTGACCTGACAAAACAGCAATAACAACCATAGGGTCCAGGCCTAATAACCAGAGAAAAACTCAAAGTAATGCAGATACTTGCTAAAAATAAATTCCCTGGAGGAATACACCCCGTAAACAAAAAGGAAAAAAAAAGAAAGTTGAGGAACTGAACTGATACTCACATGCTTTCACTGGACTTTCTGAAACCAAGAAAAATAGCTTCCCAAAGATAATATTTAAGATAAGAATTGAGTAAGATGGGTGATCACTGTGTAGATACAGACAGTAATATAGGAGAAATATCCAAACAGAAAGAAAAAAAAAACAAAAGAAAAAGAAATCCCTACAGAAAGATAAAAACTTGAAAGATGAATTTGAGAGACCCTAACATGAGATGTGATGAAAGTTCTAGAAGGGGTAAAGGAAAATGAATCTGAGAAAACAATTAGATCAATAACAGAAGAAAACTTCCATGAGTTGAAAAAATACCTCTAAGTCTGCAGGATTGATGATGACGATGGGGAAAAAAATTCCCACTCCAAAAATAAAGAAGAAATCTTACACAATTTAGACAGAAATCGTTATCTAAGAGGGAAAGAGAATCAGATGGACTACTCCAAATCGGACCTCATGCCTGGAAGCTACAAGAATAATCCCAATTATATCACTCTCCAGATTTTAAAACTTCTTACTGCCTAGCTTCATTCTGCTTGAAAGACAAAGTCTTTTCTACTTAGAATGCCTTTGAGCATCTGCCAGAAAACATCAAGACTTCTGCTGGATTACCTTCATTACTTTTCACATTTATCACATTTCTTCCACCAGAGAGAAAAGGAGAGAAGATACTTTCCTACATTCCTGGA